CCAAGTCGGACTTGTTCTCCACGCATCATATCGATTGATGGTACATGGTGTACATCGATCGATGGAGTATCTCGACTTCATCTTCAACAGAAGCGTCATTGATCGATTATACAGGGTGTGTATCGATCGATATGTATCCTTGTTGTCTAATCTTCATAGTCATCTCGGAAAACTCTCCTTTAAGCTCCAAAAGGGCACCTAAATCATCACTTTACTCCAAAATGCTCCTGAACCTGAAAACATACCTAATAGACTCCAAAACATATATAAAACTTATAAAAATACATCAATACCATGGCTAAAAGCGGGTCAAAATCATGGTATATCAGCTTTCATCATGTCACTCATAGTAGCTATCATGGTTTGGTTAAGTTGATTGGTCATTGCCTCCATCAACAACTTGTTCTTCCTCATCTACTCGACTTCTTCATCAGCCTCATTCCCCATTGGTACCTAGAGTCGCGAGCAGGTCTTTGCTCGCTCCCTCCCACCAACAAGGCAACAAACACAAGTAACTAGTTCAAAAGAAGAGACGAGAAGGATCAAACAAGAAAGAACAAAACAAAGGAACAAAGTAGAAACAAAAACTTGATCAACAAGGAACATAATTCAAATCAACCACTTGAACTTTTTATGGAAAGTTGATCAGAAACAAAAAAGGATGATTAGTTTTCTCAGATATGGATTTGTACAACAAGATCACCACAAACTTGCAAGATCTAAGAATCCTAAACAGGTTTTTGATCAAATCAAGTGAAAAACAAGAAGTAACAATAGATCGATCACAATAAGAAGAGGAAATGAATGAATCAATTGTAAGAACACTTGCATCTAATATTAGACAAACCGATCTGCAAAGGAAACACACAAAGATGATCGGATCAAATGGGAAACAACAACAAACAACAAATCGATCAATGATGATAAAAGAAGATGAAAAGTCTGATTGAAACTTAAAGAAAATGATAACTTCCCTGATCAAAGTTGCTCTGATACCACATAATACACTCCTAGGATTCTGTTTTGGTTGATGTGATGATGGATCCTTGCAAGAAGGAATAAGAGAGTCAAGTTATTCAAGGCTGTGGATCGATTGGTGACACAAGAGTGATGAATGGTCTCCTGATACTCCTAGATTGCTAGATCGGATATGACACACCAAGTTAGACACCCTTAGGCTCAAGATATTACACACCAGGAGAACACTTATACAACTAGAGAGAGTAGCCGCCAAAGATGAAGAAAAGAGTTGATAAAAAGATTGCATAACTTTCATAGGGTTCTCGCACACATATATATATATATATGGAGAGCTAAGGAACAAGCTCCTTAGGTCTTGCAAATGTAGAAACACAAAAGCTATAGTCTAAACACAAAATATAAGATAAAATAGATAAGTCTCATAGCCTTGGATTGAGATAGCACAATAGTTGTGGCCTCGTTAAAAATCTTCTTCTGTAAAACCCATCGGGACAAAACCAAAAGCAAGGAAAAGAACACACAAAAAGTTTCTTGCCTAAAATACTAACTCAGCTAGATGTAGAGATGACTTGAATGGAGATCAAGGTATCTTGAACCATCAAGCCTTGTACAAGACTTTCTTTTTGTTGAAATGTTGTGGTAAGTAAGCCTCCAGTGATCTCCTTTAGTTTATTGGCTCGAGCACGGGTCAAGGGACCTTCTGGAACGATCAACGCTTCATCATCAACTTGCTGGTCCATGGTGTCATCAGGTGGATCTCCTATGGTCTCCTCCTCTTAATTGGAAAGTTGGTCCATGATCACATCAATATCTAAGACTATTAACTCTTCTCAGCTTTGTAAGAACATAAGACTGAGCAAATCAACATGTCCTTCAAAGGACCTTCTAACTTAGTACTGAGTCTGTATGACTTTAGCATCTTATTTTGTCAGCAATTCTGATGCCGCCTTTGCTTTATGAATTGAATTCTCAAGTTTTTACTTAAACCCTCACATTCTGTAGCCCAATCGACTTAAACTCCACAAGCATCCTGTAGGTTTTCCCTTAATGTGATTTGCAACAGATGCATTGTTAAACATCTACATCATTCTCAATATATTCACTGTTTCGAACATCAATGAGCTTTCCAAAAGTGAAACTCTTCCTTGTTATATCACGACACATAACTGATGAATCCTCTGATCTTTGATTCACAATCGTCCTCCCCATGATGCTTTCTATGTCTCATATCAGAAACAACATCGTTCTCATTTTTCTATTTAAAAAACATCCAAACAGAAGGCTTTCTCCTATAACATGCTTGCAGCTAGTCTACGGCAACTGAGAGCTCAAAACTTATCATGGCTTGATGAGAAAATAAACACCTCTTCCAAAGGCCTCTCAGTTGAAATCTTGACCAAAACAAAATCTGACCAGACATGCTCTGCAGCTCACTAGACAAGTCTCTTACTCTTTCATTTCTTAAAAGAACTTTCAAGTCTCTTGCAGCCAAATCAAACTTTAAATCTCATTAAAGTAGTCAAATTACTCTTCTTCCACATGTCTTGGTCCTTTGACACAGGAAAACTGAAATGGGATAGATCCAACCTATAAATCTAGTAAGGACTGGAAGATCGGTAAATCAAAGCTTAGGAAAAGACCACTAATGAAGAAGGATCTACCCTAGAACAGAGATTTCATTGATGGATAATAGAGAGTAAAGAGATAAGAAGATTGTTTTATACTTTGATTGAACGTTTATTAAACCAAAGAGTTTCTTAAACCAAAGAGTTAAACTGTAAAGCTAAACCATGATTTAAAGAACTAAACCACAACAGTACCCAACACCCTTGGATCTGAAATTTTTTCTTCACTTATTGAACTCATATCATCTTTTCAATACATGCATACTCAGCGGTCGTCAAATAGTTGTCGAAATAACTAAGAAAGGTCCATTTCTCTATATTGTTTTTACACGTCATACATTTTTTTATTTTCTAGCTAAAATTTATTTGGCTTATATAGTTGAAGCTTTTAACAATTAATTACTTTTAACACCACAAATGACATTTTCTGAATTTTACAAACCATAAACTAAATTTTCTACTTTTGATAAATATGCAACTTTAAACCAAAAATAATAATAAACCAACAATACTCTGAAAAAAATGGCTTACAAAAACTATCAAAAGGAGAAATTCCACCACTAGTTTACAAAACCATACTACAATTTTCCAATTCTTGTTAAGGAAACATCTATTTCGAGTTTTTTCAACACGAAGTTAGTAATAACTCAGCAAAGATCCTGAAAAGTTTCATGAAGAACACATGTTCAAGGTCTCAGTGTGGCTTTGTGAACCATGGTTTCTTGTGAACCATGGTTTCAAATGACCGATAAAACCAATAAGTGGCATATATTCCACTAGTGTACAAAACTATACTACATTTTTTCAAGTTTTGTCAAAGAAACAATTGTTTAAAAACAAATTTCCACACAAAGATGGTAAACAAATCAACGAAGATCGTCAAAAGCTTAATGAAAACCATTCATCAACCCACATATTCAAGATCCTCGTACGGCTTTGTTGACCATCGTTTCCTCTGAATCTGGTGGCAGCTCTTCTCGGTGAGATCAATCAGCTTCTCCAAATTCATTTTCCACGAGTTGAGAATCTTTCAGTAATTATGTTTTTTGGAATTAGAGGCATTTGGTTAATGTCATGTGGCAGCTGCAAATTTGAGAATATTCTTCTTAATGAGGAAGATAGCTGATAGAATGAGATGGGAACATGAGACACTAAAATTTATGGATCATGATGATGGCCCCTCTGCCGGAGTCATTAAAATAGTATTGGTCACCGGCGACGATGGAAACAGTCAGTCGTTGTCTGGTGATAATAGTGAAGAAAAGTAAAGAAGTTTACATGTTTATGATATTTAACCATAAAGTTTTGTTAAGTTCAGTTAAACTCACAATGTGTTTTGTAGACCTACAGTTACAAGTTACAACCCGAGAACTGTGAAAACATACATTTTAAACTGTTCTTTTAAATTATGACTACTAATTTTGTCTTATCTGAGATCAATATTTTATTGGGTGAAGATATAAGCATGAAATGTAAATATATTTAAATTTTTGAGGAAAAGTTAGTTCCATGTGTGTTTGTAATATAGTTGAAGCAATGAGGTTTGAAGTTTGTTATGATGTGAAATTGACACTTATTATTAAATAAATATATATTTTGAAAGAAAGTTATTAATCTCTGCTATTTGAATATGGAACATCATAACAATGAAAAGGAATGAAACTCTTATGTCCGGGTCTTTCAGATCACAAACGTGAAATGGAAACATCTAGATAATTTTAAAAGAATTAAAATTAAATTCGTAGAAACATCAGTATAGTCTTCCAACATTATTTTAGGGAAGGATCAAACAAATAATAAAAGGACAATATAAGTTTCAGATAAGTTGTTCAGGTCAGAAAAAATAATCGATCAATGAGGACATTTTGTTTTGCCACGTCAGCACATGAAATTGGGTAATATTGGGCCCTTTTTTTTATTTGTTCTGTGTTTATTTCTTTGGTCCATTAGACCTACTTCCTGAGAAGCCTAACCTCTTCCCCTTTCGTGTTTCTTCATCGGTTCCAATTCGCCAACTGATTGTCGATCAATCGACACACTAATTTATCTCTGTGTAATCAATTCTCTGAAAATCTCATATATAGTTTTCTTTAGCCTTTCTCCCTCGGAATTTTTATAACTCTCTTTTTCCCAGATTTATTACAAACTCATTTCATCCCTTCGTTTGGGTTCCCATGTTCATTGATATCCCCTGAAATCCATCGCTCTCGGCTTCGATATAGGTATTATAGAGTTATTGCGTTTTATGTTATTCTTAGAAACGAAATCCTTTTCTAATTTCAATTTAATTTGAACCAGTTAAGAGATCAGGAGAAGAAGGATAAGTCGGGGACGAAGGTGCACACGAATGTACAACAAAAAATAGTGATGTTATTAAGCTTCAGATCAAGGTCGATGAGAATACCGGTCAAAGCGCCGATGCTCGCTTCAAGACCGGCCAAAACGTCGATGAGAAACTTTGTATTTGCCAAAAAAAAATTATAAATATTTTCCCTTTCTGTGATATGTTTTACGTTTGGAATATTTATATGAAAACGTAAAAATTCTGGTTAGATGTTAGATTTTTGAGGAAGTCCTGGCCATCAATAACACGTAAGTTTCCTTTGTTTGTCTCTTGCAAGTTACAATTGTTGTTATGATCTGTCACAAACACTACAATATATAAAAGTTAATTTCCAATGCTCTAAAGGGGTTCCTGATTAAGTATAACGACACAGAGGGTGATTTGGTTACAATTACCACAGCAGATGAGCTGAGATTTGCTGCTTCTAATCATGATAAACTTGGTTCGCTTAGGTTATATATAGCTGAAGTTAAACCTGACCAAGAACCAACCTATGATGCTGAAAAGTCCGTGAAGAGATCGAGCGGTGTTGCGGATAGTGGAAGTGTTGTGGAGTCTGAGAAAGCCTCTTCGTCCTTTGAGAACTGGATTTACCAGTTTACGCAGCTGTTCAAGAACCATGTAGGGTTTGATTCTGATTCTTACTTGGACCTTCATGACCTTAGGATGAAGCTGTACACAGAAGCAATGGAAGATGCTCTAATTGGCGAAGATGCGCAAGAGATTTTTGAAATAACAGCTGATAAATTCCAAGAAATGGCTGCTCTAGCTATGTTCAACTGGGGCAACGTTCACATGTCTAAAACAAGGAAAAAAGTTTCTTTTCCCGAAGATACTTCGAGAGAAGCTATAATAGAAGCAGTTGAAGCTGCGTTTGGTGGACAAAAATGAGTACAGAAAAGCTGCTAAGAGATATGAAGAAGCGGTTAAAATTAAACCTGATTTTTTACGAAGCTTTCATTGTACTTTGGCAAGAACAATTCGAACATGCAAAGCTTTTGTGGTATCATGAACTCAAAGGCAAGGTGGACGTTGAGAGTGGTTTCTCAAGAGGTTCTTATGCTCTATAACAAAGCTGAGGATATCATGGAGAGAGGTATGCAGATTTGGGAAGTGATGGAAGAACGTCGTTTAAACGGAATCTCCAAGTTAATTAGATATGCAAAGAGCACTGCTGCAAAAGGTGGAGTTGGATGGATTGTTTAAAGAAGCTGTTGATGAAGAAACTGTGGAGCAGGCAGCTAATATGAGTTCCCAGATTAATCTAGTGTGGGACTCTTTGTTGTATGAAAAGTATATAGTGGAATATATGCTGGGGCTAACGACTTGGGAGGAGTGGTTAGAGGTTGCTGTTGAGAAATTTGAACTAGCTGGAGCTTCTGCAACTGATATAGCTGTTATGGTGAAGAATCATTGTTCAAGCGAGAGTGCACTTGAAGGTAATCAGTTGTTAAACTTGTGGAGAAGGCACAATCCAATTCTTTTCTGATATCTTTATTGTTTTTGATAACCTGCAGGTATGGGGTTCAAGATTGATGAGATAGTACAGACATAGAATGAGATGTATGATGCTAAAACGTGACAGATGGATGTCCCATCTTTCAGGCTAGAACCCATGTTCCAAAGACGAGCCCCAAAACTGTGGGATATTTTAGAAAATGTATTTTCTGAGTCTGCTTGAGGAAACAAAATGCTTCATTCAAAGATATCGCAGAACTAGGGCTGGGCAAATAAACCGAACCCGAAAATCCGAACCGAACCCGATCCGATAAAAATGAATCCGAACGGATCCGAACCCGATTTAAATACCGAATGGATCTTGTTTTATGGTATTTCGGGTTATGGGTATTATCCGAACCGAACCCAAAATTAAATGGATATCCGATAGAACCCGAAACATTCAAAAATTTTAATAAGAACATGTACTGAACATAATCTTAATTCCTAATATATATCCATAATATTTTAAGATATTACTAAACATATAAAATAATTATCTATTACATGAAGCTTGATGGTTGAAGGTGGCGGTTGAAACTTGAATTTTTTAGATTAATTTTTTGTTATTATTGAATAATGTTTCTCATTTTTTAAGAACTTGATTTTCGTTTACGCTTTCATTTATTTAGTTTTCTTTCTATTAATAACTATGTTTACCTTTCAGTTGATTTTGAATGATCAAGTTTGATGTTTCTTTCTTATTTTTAAATCAATTTTACTTATGTTTTGGTTACAAAATAGTTACACATTAGGTATTTTAAATCCGAAGAATCGATTTTACTTATCTTTTGGTTACAAAGTAGGTACAAATCAAGTATTTTTAAACCAAAGAACCGATTGGGATCCGAATCCGAAAGTATAACGGGTTGTACCGGTTCTTTAAAGATTTACTAACCCGACCCGAACCCGATAGAACCCGAACCGATCCCGAACCGAACTTTCAAATAATCCGAATGGTGCTGATTTTGCTAAATCCTAAGAACCGAGACCCGATTGGACAAAACCGAAACCCGAATGGAACCCCGAATGCCCATGCCTACGCAGAACTTTACAATCCTCTTAAGACAACTAAATGTAACACGTGAGGAGGTGTCCCAAGCTCTTTTAGATGTCCGAATTTTGCAATCCTCATTTTATATAATTCATTTTTCAAATTTTGATAGTGATAGATTGTCTTCCAACATTTTGAAGATAGAAAAAATAAAACTATAAATTAAAATATTAAGTTAGATATATCAAAAACAATATGACGGTTTTTGTTAAAGAAAAACTAAAAAACCTATTTTGTAAAAAAAAAAGTTCATTATTAGTATTACTTATGAAATTCTTACTTGTATTAACTACAATGATTTTGTCAATCATTATCTTTTTTTTTATTTGATTTAATTTATATTTCTTCTGTTTTTAACTATAAGTTTAATTATACAATATATTATATATATAAATAATATGATTGGAAATTTTGTTTAAGAGATTAGCTATATGTATGCGGCCAGAAAATCTAGTATAACTAATAGTTCATTGACATTTTTCATAACTCATTCGTAAATAGATATTACTTATTTGGCACATATGACATATGTATAGTTGTCATGGTCACATTTTGTCTCATGACTCCTCAATCCCCATCATACAAAAGGTACATCATGCACTGATAAAACAATTATCTTTTTCCGTTTCAATTCAATTATCGTCTTGAACAAATTTTCGTCTCAAAATAAATAATATTTTATTAATTTAATATAAAATTTCTTAATATATATTTATTTTATTTTTTATTGGTTGAATATGATTAAATTTATAAATAATAATATTTTTATTTTAAAATATAAAATTAAATATTTTTTAATTTGTATATAAGAATTTGAAACAATCACTAAAATGAAACGGAATAAGTATATGTTTATTGCATTGTCATGTCTATTTAAAATGAAAACAATTTACAGATTTTGATAAACAAACATATTTTATTTAAAATGAAAACAGTTTACAGATTTTGATCAAACAAATATATTTTTATTTTGTCATGTCGTAGATCAGTAGATGTTTATGTGATTCGTTGTATCTCTAACTACACAATCATACAAAAATGAGATTTTAACAAAATGATTCAGACCGAAACGCTACTATTTTCCGACCTTAAAAATACCACGGACTGTGAAATTGGAAGCTCCTTGACGACAAACAAATAGAGTCAAATTATTATGATGAATAACTATTGAAGAGTAAGAAGAAAAAACCGGAAATAGCAATGGATGGAATAAAGGACCAATATAAAGTTTTAAAAAAAAATTATGCAGCTTCCAACCATCACTTTCGTCCACGTGATGAGTATAAAAAAACAAAATTAATTTTCCATTCAGTTATTACGAGTTAAATTTTGACAATTGACACACATTTTAATTGGCTTTCCTTCCTATGCAAAGAAAGTTTTTGGCTTAGCATTTTAATTGACATGGACCATTTAGAGACAGTTTGCCATGCGGAAAATGAGTATCAAACCTGGTTCAATGTGAACGAATTGATATCATTTTCTCTACAAAATCACAGTCTAGTAGATATCCAAGTCCTAAATTTGGAAAACATTTGTAGGACTATGGACGTCCATATCAATGTTTATCGGATGTGGATGGATTTGGTTAGATAGTTTGGGAAAAGTTTAGGACAAGTTTAACTGCTGGAGATACGAAATTATTTTAGACTAAAATCAACTTTGTATTCATAAGTGAAACCATTACGTTGGGCGATGGAAAATAGGATTCAGCATTCGATATGTCAAAGTTTTAGAATTGATCGTAAAGATTTGATTCCCATAATTAAAGAATCTCATGTTTAGTCAAATTTCCTAATAGAGCTGGAGAGAATAGTTACGTAGTAAATTTGTCTCCTGGATTTCAAAATTCACCATATTTCACGAGATCAAAATCAAATTCTTTAGTTAAGATTGTTGTTTGTTGGTTGTTTTATGTCAGTCTAATTATTCATATCATATCAAATTTGAGTAATAAAATAATTATTTATTAAAATAAATAAAAAATTGAAGCACGTAAATTATCTAAAAGAACGATTTTTAATTTACAAGACACGTGACAGAGAAAAGGCGTTTTCAGGATCTTAAGTTTATCTTGTCTCGGACTAATTAAATTGAGATTCAACACGTAACTTTAATCATAGTAAACGAAGAAATTAGGAGCAATTATTTCAGTCTCCTTTTATCAAATCAAATTAGTTTCTTCCTCACTGAGATATAACTTATTTTCTTCACGTAATTAGAAAATAAAAAGACGAGTAAAAAATGTGTGGCAAAAACTAAAAGAGAAGACTATGGACTCAACTAGAGCACTGGGACACCTAAAAGTCAGAAACTTCATTTAGTTACATATTTATATATATAAACATAACATTGACGTTGATCAAAAAAAAGAAAAACATAACATTGACAAATGTTAGATGTCTGTTTCATGTTCCATATGAAACATAAAGTAATGAGTACATAAACATATGCATCAGCCTTTCTCTTTTTTGATCAAATCATCAGTATTTCTCAAGTTTCAAAATGATCACGTCTCTACAACTTTTTATACTAGGTGTGTTCAATGCGTATAAACCAACCAAAATAACTTTACTTATGATCCAAACGAAATCTAACTATCTTTTTTCTATGGGTTAAGCTTTTTTCAATTTGTAGAGAATTTGTGATCTAAGAGCATTTTCAGTGGAAGTATGTAGGCATTGAAATCTTCAAAATACAAACACATATATATCTTATATAATAAAGTTATTTTTTTTCTATGAGAGCAAAAATGCCATGTGTCACCTCACTAAAGTTTAAAAAATTATTTATTGGGATTTTAGCAAAAAGAAATATTATTTAAAAAAATATATTATTGATAAAAATGCATATTTGTTTGGCTTTTTATTGTTGTAGATTGTGTTTAAAATAGTGAACAAAATGGCTTACTAGATTTATGGGTTAAGCTTTTTTCAATTTGTAGAGAATTTGTGATCTAAGAGCATTTTCAGTGGAAGTATGTAGGCATTGAAATCTTCAAAATACAAACACATATATATCTTATATAATAAAGTTATTTTTTTTCTATGAGAGCAAAAATGTCATGTGTCACCTCACTAAAGTTTAAAAAATTATTTATTGGGATTTTAGAAAAAAGAAATATTATTTTAAAAAATATATTATTGATAAAAATGCATATTTGTTTGGCTTTTTATTGTTGTAGATTGTTTTTAAAATTTAGGATTATAGAGATCCTTAATATTATAGGTTTATTCGTCATCTTCGTTTGAGATCCCTAGATCAGCCGACGAAGGTTGTAAATATCGGAAGAAATTATCAACTCTTCGTAATGTCTCGAGACACACTTGATTCACACCTTCTTTCCTCTTATTTTATAAGTGATTAACCATCTCTCGATCAGTGAAACCACTTTATCGCATCCCAAAAATAGCCATATAGAAGTGTGAGTATATATATCCTTTTTGCATACATTAACAACACAGCTTCGACGAAAATTAGAAGAAAAGTTTGTTCAACTTTCCGATTGCTACAATGATGATTTATTCCATCCTCATTGCTGATTTGAAAGTCGGGCGCTGCTCCAATACCACCGAGGTTTACTTGCTGAGGTTTTGGGAGGCCAGAATTGTGAGGAAAGGCGATGAACTCATGAGTCTAGATATGTTCCTCATCAAGGAGAATGTAAGCATCTCTTTTTTGATTAACGCTGTTGACGACTGGTTCCATTATGATTATCTAAAAAAAATAATTTTTCATTTCTAATAGGTGACGGTTATTCAAGGTTCTGGTAATGCAAACCGTCAATTCATGCTCAGGTAGCATCTCAGCGAAGGGTCAGTCTACAGGTTGAGCGGGTTCGATGTAATGCACAACAACCCCAATTTCAAGATGTTGGATGCTCCTTTCTCCATTCGGTTCAACCTCTTTAGTTAAGAAAACAACATTTATTAGACCCATACCTACTGAACTTTTCAGATTCCTAACCTAATCTGAAGTATAAATATGATATTACTAGAATCTTA